TTTGACTGTTTCAGAGTGTACCTAAAAGAAATGGTACTGTGCCATTGTATGTTTTACCTTGTTCAAGAGATCAATGGCCTTTTTGATATCCTTTTGGCCTGCCTGTTTGTGAACACTGCTCGAAAATGAGCAGAAAATGAGTAAGGTCAAATATTTCTGTGAATCGGTGATCGGCTCCATTCCAGACCATAAACATGTCGTAGAGGTTGGGAAGGAGAGGAGCGATTGGGCTCGTCCAGCCTGTAGGGCCGTCGGTCGTTCGTCGATCCCATTCCCACGTTGACGTATTCGCAATCCTCAGGAGACGCTGACCTGGTCGGCTCACTGGGCAGTGAAACAGGAAACGGGGGACACAAGTGAAAACTGGGAATAGGAGACATTTCTTTACACTAAGGGGGGCGGGGGGGTGGAACAGGCTGCCCAGTCAGCTAGATGTCTGAAGAAGGCCAGGTCCATTCTCAAGGACACCAGTCATCCCAGTCACAAACTGTTTTCCCTCCTACCATCCGGTAAACAGTACCAAAGCATTCGGTCCAAGTCCAACAGACTACGGAACAGCTTCTACCTCCAGGCAATAAGACTGCTAAATAGCCAACCTGTAGCTCCTTTAGCAAATCACCTGTAATGGCTACAGGGACACACAGTTTTCACTGTATTCAGCATAACTGCACTACTTGTATATGTTGCATACACCCTGGACACATAGCAGCTCAACTCACATTGAGTTTTATTCAATTTCTATTACATCTATTTTTATGTAACCTTATCTTCATAACCTGAATTTTGTGATTTCTGTGATTCTTGTGAGCTCGCAGAAAAGACATTTCATTGCCAGCAACTACTGCTGCACGCTGTCTTGTTGTGCATTTGAGAAATAAACTTTGATTGGATTGGATTTTTTAAATCAGTACCCTGGTTTCTTTCCAAGAAACAGCTGGATGAGATCCTGGGGTTAATTAGCTGGTGACTACAGTGGGGTGGACGGATCGCCCCTCTCTATAAGAACCTCTCTTCCGCCTCTTGCATTCCTCCGTCCGGTCCGCCTTACCCCCGGCAGGCTTCTCCGAGGTGCGATAGGAGGTAGTGCCGCTGACAGGTGACGGGAGTCGCTCTGCCTACAGGGCACCGTGATGGCCATCCTGGGAGGGGGAGACACTCAGCACACCTTGCCGGCCCTCGCCGTGACCCCGTCGTGGCTGAGGGCCGGGGCCTGCCTGCAGGACGTGCAGTACCACCTCAGCTGCACGGACCCTGGGGTAAGGCTGTCCTCCTCTCCGCGCCTCCCGGTGCTGTGCATGCTGGGCTGCGGCTTTCCTCCCCGCATTCTCCCATAGGTCTCTGCGTGTCCCTCTGTCCGGCTGTGGAGTCCGGCGTGTCCACCTTCTGTCTCTGTGTCTCTGTGTCTCTGTGTCTCTGTGTCTCTGTGTCTCTCTGTCTCTCTGTCTCTCTGTCTCTCTGTCTCTCTGTCTCTCTGTCTCTCTGTCTCTCTGTCTCTCTGTGTCTCTGTGTCTCTGTGTCTCT